TCAATTATTTCCAAGTCCATGCCCTTCTCAATACATCAAAAGCACCCTCCAATTGTAAAATATCACCCAAGTCCATGTACTTAAGTATGTATCAAAAGAACCCTCAAATTTTCAAATGTTATTCAAGTCCACGTACTTCCCAATGTATCAAAGCAATACCTTTTTGTTAAGTATTGTCTAAGTCCATGTACTTATCAACATGTCTAACGAACCCTCAATATTGAACTGGTATCCAAGCCCAAATAATTACAAATATATTAAAAACACCCTTGATGTGTTAAATATCAATTTAGAAGCAGTAGCACCCTATGTTTTCAAATGTCACTAAGCCCATGATTATATTAGAAATATATCAAAAAGACCCTCATTTCCCCTCTACTTCAAGGGACCACAAATGCACCCTCAATATGCAAATATTTTTAAGCGCCATTATATTGCATACTTTACCAATTGTTCGTCAACTATTAATTAAGCCCATTTTGTTATAAAATATGAAAAATACTCTTGATTTGTGAAATATCAGTTTAGCCTCATTACACTATGAAGCACCCTCATGTTGTCATATATTTTACAAATATATCATAAATACCTTCTACATGTTGAATACATTTTAGGAAATTTCAAAATCACCCTCGAGTTCAAATCACTATTTTAAAAGCCAGACTGGACCAACCAGTCCAATCGGTTCGACCGGCACCCAACCAATATGAAACCTGCCCTCAGTTAAAAAGCCGCTTAGACCCTCTATTCAACCGGATGAACAGTGTGACCCGGTCGGTCCAACTGAACTGCTTGATAAACCGAGTCAATGTTTAAAATAAAATAAATAAATAAAAAAAACCTAAATCTAATTTTCATAAAATCAATCGCAGCTCCCTGCCTCCCTCTCGCGACTCCACTCCTCTCCACTCTTTTCAATCTTTCAATTCTCTAAAATCGTAGCTTCGTTGTCCCTTCTCGCGACTCCATTGACCAGTGACCACTTTACTCCACTCTCTTCAATCTCTCAATAGCACTCAGTCCCAATTCAACTCTCTACTCCACTCTCCCTTGCTTGACTACGGTAGCACCTCCCTCACTGAATTTCGATGACGACGCACCTTCCTTCTCCCTTGCTCAACGATGACAGACGACGACATACCTTCCTTCTCTCTTGCTCGACGACGACAGACGATGACCCCTCCCTCCTTCACTGGAATCAACAATGCCTCTCTCCCTCCGTTAAGCTTTGTAAAGGTATTTCCACTGTCTTTATTTGATGAATATGTTGCTATGATTCAATATGTCTTTATTTGATGCATAATTTGTTCACTATACTGAATCTGTTGCTTTGATTCAATGACACCATGTTTTAATTTAAATTGCTTGATTAGTGTTTAAGAGACTAATTAGATAAGAGGTGGGAGCCGAGAGGGAGATCCCTATGGGGAAGGTTCTGTAAAATTGTTATTAGCTAATGAGCTAGTCATAATTCTTAAACTATGTTCGACAGTCATAGTACTTTCCTTTGGAATATGATTTATTATGCTATCATGTGTCTATCTCTAGTAGTTTTCTTGATGAGAGCTATGACTGGCAAACTGGATAAAAGTTAGTTTGGGTGGTGATAATTTCCTAGTAATTGGTGATTTAGGAATTCATTAAATTGAAAGCAAGTTGTTTGAGAGCATAGATATGACACAGCTTGCCATGTTGTTGTTATAACCGTATAAAACATTAAAACTTAATGTCATAACAACAAAGCATTGATTATCATGGTTTCCTTTTTATATGTTCTCATGTGGTGTTGTGGTCCTCTTTTGATAGTCTATTGTTGGTGGTCCTCCCTGAATGCGTCCATAATATGCTGGTGTATACTAAATTATTGTTGTTAATTTGTATTGCTTATGTGCCACAGGTTGATAAAGATCAAAAACAGACAATGTCATCATCCGGGTCTGGGCAAAACTCTTCTTCACAATCTAGTAGAGGTAGGAATGATATAGCATGGGGACGTGTTATTGAGGGTCAAGATCAAAATGGAAGGAAGACATTGACATGTCTTCACTGTAGGAAAGTAACTAGAGGAAGAGGTATTTTTAGAATAAAACAACATCTAGTTAGAACAAAAGGGGATGTCGGTGTTTGTTTAAAAGTTCCCTTTGATATTCAATACTTGATGAGAGAAGCACTAAACGAAATTGGGCAAAGAATAAAGAGAATCTAATTCTAGTAAGTATACAAATCCTTACGGTGCTTCTGTACATGGATTTGAGGGAGATAAGATAAATGAAGATGGTGAAGAGGTTCGTCCATCAAAAAGAAAAAAAAACCTATTGGGGTTGGTGACTATTTTGCTTCAAGGACAATTGTTGGATCTCAATCATCAATTAGGAGTTGTTTAGTTGGAAAAGAAGCGACGTGGAGAGCAGACATGGCTTTTGCAAGATTCTTTTATGATGCTCGCATCCTAATTAATGTTGTAAATTCAATTTATCTTCAGCCTTTGGTGGATTCTACAGCTACAATTGGGATCGGATATAAACACCGAAATTATCATGGTTTGCGTGTCAATTTGTTGAGAGATGCTAAGAAGGAGAGGTGCAGCTTCTTGTTGACAGTTAAAGGAAGACATGGGAAAATGTTGGATGTACCTTAATGGCTGATGGTTGGATCGATAATTCACATAGGTCATTGATCAATTTTATGGTGTATTGTCCTAAAGGAGTTTGTTTTGTGAAATCAGTTGATGCTTTAGATGTGTAAAGGATGTTGGGACATTGTTGAAAATGTTTGAGAAGATAACTTTATGGATTGGACCTAGTAGTATTGTCCATTTTGTCTCAGACAATGGATCCAATTGTCAAGCTACTAGAAGAATGTTGTCTGAGAAATATCCGAGTATTACTTGGTCGCCCTGTGCAGCATATAGCAGAAATTTGGTGTTAAAAGACATAGTTAAGATGGATCACATAGTTTATCTTGCGAAACGTGCTTCTAAGGTGACAAAGTTTATATATAATCATACATTCTTGATAGCATGGTTGAGGAAAAGACAAGTAATATACCTTTATCTCATGTTCTTATCAAGTCATAACATAATATGTAATTTTTATAATTGACTAACATCTATTATTTATCAATTGAATAGGGTTGGAAAGAAATTGTCCGTCCGGGCGCAACCCGTTTTGCTACAACTTTCATTGCAATGAGAAACCTTCATGAGCACAAACATAACTTGCAAGTCATGGTGACAGATAAGTCATTTGTCGATTCTCGATATGCAATAAAGGCAAGTATGTTATTAGCATAATTCTAGATAACGATTTTTGGGATGATATGGGTAAATGGTCCAAAGTTGTGAGTCCATTAATGTGTTTGTTGCGGATTGTTGACTCAGATGAGGTGCTTGCAATAGGATATGTGTATGATGGCATGTACAGAGCGAAAAATGCAAGTAAGAAGTTGTTTAAGAATAAAAAGAGATTGTACAAGCCTTATACAAGAATCATTAAGCTATGCTGGGATAAGACATTGCGCCGTGATATCCATGATGCGGCTTATTATTTGAATCCTACCTTTAAATATGACGAAACATCTTTTTGCGCCAAGCTAGAAGTCATGAGTGGTTTCCTTGATACTATTGATAGTAAAGTAAGTGCGTTTAATTTGAACAAGACAAAGTTGATGAAAGAGAATAGATTATATTCAAACCGGGAAGAAAGCTTTTCTCATGGGCTTGCTCTTGAAACCGCCAAAACCACACGTCTTGGTACGTAATAGTTATAAAATTTATGAGTTCTTTTGTTTTTTAAGTCTAATTTATTTATTATGTTTAATTTTCAATTAGATGATTGGTGGAAATCATTTGGGTATAGTACTCTAAATTTGCAAAAGTTTGCAAATAAAATTCTTAGCCAAACTTTAAGCTCTTCGGGATGTGAATGAAATTAGAGTGTTTTGAGTTCATACATACCAAAAAGAGGAATAGATTGGAACATCAAAGGTTGAATGATCTCGTTTTTGTTCACTATAACTTGCGTTTGCAAAACAAGTATAAAACATTGTCAATTACTCAATTAGTCAATTATGCATCACTCTTATTGTTGTTATCTATTATTTTCCTTGATATTTTACTTGTTATGCTTTTAATATTTCATTATAGTATTTTAGAAGGTGTTACAAGAAAATAAGTTTCAATCTTATTGATTATAAAGGTATCGACAAAATTGAAGGTTGGATAGTTGACGATGAAGAGGAGGTCAGTGAACTTGATTAGGAGGGATTGGAAAAAATGTTATACGGAGAAGGATCTATTGCTGCTGGAATTGCTGATCACCCTCTTTTTTATGATTCAACAGATGGTTCATAATGTTGGTTTCAAATACATTTATTATTTAAGCAACTTAGTATCTATTTTAAATTAAATTACAAGTATGATTTTTATTTTTGACTGAAATTTATGTAGATGATGGTGATGGTTATGAGGATGATGAATTTTGAAGCTAGTGTGTGAAGCTCAATCAACATGAAGACGGGTCAAAGAAAAAACATTTGCACCAAATGTTTTGTTATTAATTATTATGTATTTTGTCATTTAATTTGTGATGGATGAACACAAAATCATGTTTGGAACTTTGGGATTGTTGTTAAATACTTAAATCATGTTGGGATTGTTATTAAATCATGCTGTTGGGATTGTTATTGAGTTTGAATCATGTTGGGTAGTAATTGACTTGTTGAAAATCTGAAATTCTTCAAAAACAAGAGAGTTTTTTTCTTTTAACAGTCTAACGTTAACATAATAACGTCACCAATCCAACCGACCGGTCCAATCGGTTGGACCAATTGACCTGGACAGTAGAGCGGGTTGCCCTCCCGTCTGGATTTTAAAACATTGCTTCAAATATCATCTAAAGTACATGTTAAGTCGATGAATTGATTTCTTTCCTACTTTATGCATGGTTCCCGGAAGTTTTAAGGTTCTCAACTACTAGCTTCCTATGACCATGCGCAATTGTACAGTGAATTCTCATAGGCAAAAATGATATGATTCAGCAAAATAATTTGTTTGTTTAAGGGAAGTTGCTGGCTTTCTTCAGGATATTGAATACAAAATTGTAGTATTTTACACATTAATTACATAATTAGAACATGTTTACACAATGTTTAAGCATGAAGGCCAAAATGGTGAGAAAAACGGAACACTGCCTCCTGTCAAATCTCAGTCAGCCTTCATGTCGTGGTTCCAGCATACACATCCGAGAGGCTGACAGATTGGGCTATTGCGCAATAGCTCATTAGGAGTACTCAATTCTCAAGTTGCAAATCCATCACATTGTGATAGTAATGAATCTTCAGCTCCATTAATAATAATCTTCAGCACAATTCTCAAGTACAATCATCCGAAGTGTGATGCAAGCTATCAACAATCCACCATCATTTAACCTGGTTAAGGAAAAGAGAATAAAAGATATGGATGGAGACCAAAATGCTACTCAATTTTTCAACCAAAAAGCTTGAGAATGTCCTAGACACTTGAAGATATGTGAAGTTTGAAATTCAAGCAAAAGAGGCAAAATGATAGTTAAATCGTAAAGTAATGATTACCTGAATTGGACATAGACAATGACAAAAAGTTATCCACTCATTAAGTTCAGCAAGAAATGCTAAGAGAATCTTGATCGATTTCAGAGTCTTCATCAGCTTCCCAATCTAGATCTTCTTCAGAATCAAAATCACCATCAGATTCCATGACCGCAACTTCATCTTCACTCTGCAAGAAAGAAAGAAAATAATTCCTCAGGGAGATATAATTTTCGTCATGATTCATATCCCCATACAGGTAGTAATTCTTCCTCTTTCAAAAGGTCGGAGATAAAAGTTTTATTGGGAACAGAGATTATTTGGGATTATATATATAGTTTGGTTGAAAAAAGACAAAAGCAATGAAGATAGAGAAGCACTCAATGTGATAAACCTTTGCAACTATATTTAAGATAATAAGTTAGTAGCAGAGTGAATCCGATCGACTCACTTCACTCAATTCCGACATCTGATCAAATTGGCCATGGACCTCAGAGCTCCCAGCATTTCCATCCTGTACATCTAGGGAAACACCCTGTAAATCATAAACACAAATAGCCCAAAAATGTCAACAAAAAGTCATCATTTGTCTTAGTTTTGTCAGTAGTATAAATTTTGATAATAATGATGAAAAGATAAGTCAACATGGAACCTAATAATCAAACATTTATTAATATATTTTTTTGGCCAAGCGAATAGCACAATATCCCAGCCTCCTGTTTAAAAGAGATATTGCGGAAGGGTTCCTCCTGTTTCAATGTGTGTATATGTATATATATCCCAGCCTCTTTCACTAGAAACAGACAACATTTAGAAATAATGTAATACCATTATGATGATAACCTGAGAGACTGAAGTTTTTAAAATAACAGGGGTTTCATTTTCCTGCAAGCTAAATTTACATGCCAGGTAACCTCTAACTTCTAAAAAGAATTGTTACCAAAATGGCAATATGGAACAACCTACACCATTGAAACCGATTATTTACTATATATTCAGTATTAAATATCTTGAGCGCAAAATTAATCTGGTTTACACAGAGACTCTCAAAGGTATGAGTAGAAATTCAATCTAATCATGTCAGTTGACACCACAAAAGTATAATAACAAGGTCATTAGTGGCACTTCAAAACCGATTCCATTGTTCACTCAAATGCAAAAGGATCAAATATCTTGAGAGCAAAATTAATCTGGTTTACACAGAGACTCTCAAAGGTGTGAGTAGAAATTCAATCTAATCATGTCAATTGACACCACAAAAGTATACTAACAAGGTCATCAGTGGCACTTCAAAACCGATGCCATAGTTCACTCCAAAGCAAAAGGATATATGAACTACAAGGTGAGTTTTCTGTGAAAATGGTTCCCTCTGAGGGTTTTGAGCTGGAGGGAGATTTACAGTGTCCGCCATGCAAGAAATTGTATATAAAATTGAGGTTCAACTTGGTCCACAAGAATATGGTAAGTATGGTTTCAAGCAGATAGATCTAGCTAAGAATAAATTATTGTGTGTGCCAACTACGTATGTATTATGCAGAGCATAGTTTTCATTTAATTGAGAGGCAAGTAGGAAAAACACTACTGACAATTTCTTTCCTCATTTGCTCTATGGTGCTCTCCAGCTCGGATATATGCTGACTGAGAGCCTGCACATTTCATGTAAGAATGGTGTGAATTATATAACCAAAATCACACAGAAATAATCATGTTATATAACAGAAAATCAGGGAATTAAAAGATATAAACCTCATGCCGCTGCATGGCCACAGAACGCTTTAATGCTTTTGCCTTCGTCAGCAGGTTTCTTGGCCTCAAGCTAATGGGCCGTCTATAATTCTTCCCACGATAGTAAATTATGGCAAATCCTTTCGGAACTCTTTCTATTGCCACCAGTATTCCACCACTTTCATATTCCAATAACCTTGCCGTATCTTCAACAAATGCAAGGGTCTTTTGTTTGGATATTAATTTGACAAGTTCTCTGTACTTCCAATGTAAATGCATATTCTCAATGACACCATCAAAAACACCTCGAATGCCTGAGTAATTATCATACACAAACCATTAGAGTTAAGCCCAGATTTAATTTTCAATCAAGATGCTGAGAATCACTTACCAAGAGGCAAGTATGCTTTCATTTTTAAACCAACCCTACGAAACATAATCCGTTCCTCATCAGTGATTGTCTCTTGGTCATAATCAGGACCAGAAGGAACCATGGAGGCTTCTATTTTAGCTAACAATTTCTCTGCTCTCAGCTTTTTTGCTTGTGCCTGTTCATGAATTCAAAAAGTCAACTACGTTAACGGCAAATCTAAAAGACTTCTTAGATTACAAGTACCACAAGCTATCCAGAACCTAGACATTGTTAATAACCAAATCTTAAATAAATTAAATGAATCTGTACAATAATTAAATTGACACAACCGTTAATTTCATCTCAACAAGACATGGTTATTGGCATTACACTGAAGGAAAATACCAAATGCTGGTAAAAAACTCCAATCCCCAAATAGTCCAGTCAAAATTGTTCGTCTAAAGAAACCAAAATATGAAATGTGTAGACCAAGAACCTATCATTTATCTCATTCTTGAGGCTAAAGACAGGGATTTATGTTTAATGTTGGATTCTGATTTTAATGTTTGAAAATAATGTAAATTTTCTACTAATCACTATTGGACCCTAAATTACGATCTTCCCTAAATCTCTTATTCTCTCTTTCCTCTCTCCTCCATCACTGTTCTTTAGCCTTTCTTATCCACTTAGGTTTTTAAGATCAAGGGTTATCAGAGTCAATGACCAAGTGGTATTGTATTTAAATTCTACCATTCTGTTAATCGAACTAAAACTGTTTGTTTGTGAGTAAATGTCCATTTACGTGTTTGAATCTATGTGACAAATCAATTTAATTAAATTCAGCCAATTAAGGTGTACGTAAAGAATATATATACTATTGCAGGGCCTTTCCCTTTCAGCTTAGGTTTTTGGTTTTAAGTTCTTCAGAAATACTTCTCAAAGCATCAAATTATCAAGGAGAAAAAATTGTACTTACAACAGCTAATTTGTGTTCAATCCGTTTGACAAGCCTGGCATGCTTAGCTTTGGCAGCTTCTTCCATCATCCTCTCCCGTTCTTCAGTGGATACTTCTCTTCCCCACCGAGATTGGGCCTCATAAAACTCAGCCAAAGATCCTGCAGGTGCTGGTACTTCGTTTTCACCAGATGGAGTTACCTCCAATACTTTATTCCGCACTTTCTCTTCAACATCTTGAATCTGTTTTGCAAATTCCTCTCTTTCTGCCAAAGCAGCAGCTACACTTGTTGGGAGAAAATCTTTTCCACGGAATATAACAATATAATACTTGTTTCTGAGAAGCAAGGTACCCCCAGTTAAACTCTGCAAAGTAGAAGAAATTTAAAACCATTATGCTCTAATTGTTGACTCGCATGGGTTGAATATTCTTCAGTCCTCTATTGCATGTGCAGAAAAATCTTAAGGTCAGAAAAACCCAGAGGAAATTTTTTTTGCAAAAATAAGGATATGTTGACAGCTTATGCAGACAGAATTCATTATATCACCACATTTACTAAACCTGTTCAATCTTGAGTATGCACACTAGAAATGCTTAAAGCTCGAAAATTTACTGTTTGAGTGATATATAGGAATTGAAATTGACACTGATACAAAAAAATTCATAAAAATAATTGTTAAATGTTAGAGATGACAATAACATAAGGTTTTTGTGCATAATATTTTGCTTAGGCACCAATAACTTGGTATAAAAAATGAGAATGGTTTTGCACTTGCTGCAATACTAGTACTTTTAAGTTCAAGCAATGGAATTGACTAATGCATTGAACAGAGCAAAACATAAAATAGAACACACCTTCAGCTCCTCAGCCATTAGTTTGTTATTTGTATTCTGGATACCTCGTTTTACAGCAATCTTTGCAACAAGGGTTTTCTCCCAGAGCTTAATTATAGCAGCTGCCAATCCCTGATGATTTCTATTCCTCCCTAAATTAAGAAGTTCAGGATCAATGCTAATGATGGAGATATAAACTGTAATAGTACAGTATTTAGAAGATGAATACTACCAAGGGCAAAATGAGAAGGAATTTTTCTAGCAAGTTTCCGTAAATCAGTCATTTCTGCATTGGTCAGTCGAGATCGCATTCCAGTAGGAAGAACCCTGAAAGGTGTTTTATAGCCAGGGATTTTTTGAGGAAGTAAATCAGCATCAACTGGAAGCATTCCTGTACCCCACCACTCCTGAAAACGGGGACCTAAACTATCCAGTAAGCTGTTAAATTCAGCTTCCTCTTCTGTCATGGTCTTAGTATGATCTGCAATCCTGACAGCAGGCTCACTCTTTTCTGAAGTTGAAGTTGCACCATTGACACTTCTCAGAGCTGCACCATCAGCAGAAGATACATCTGGGACAAAAAGAGCATCTCCTTCTCTTTCAACAGGTTGTGATTTCGAAGAAGGCCCTCCATAGTTACTTCCTCGATACACCACCATGACACTTCCTGACCTCCATATAACTAATCCTGCAGTTCGTCGCTGAAAATCACTACAAGCACTCAGTTAATATTTGTATTATTTTACAAAAATGTCCTACCAAGAACTTTACAAAAAGAAAAGAAAAGAAAAAAAACACAAATATGCAACTTAAAATATATGAAGATAGAAAAATCAACAAAAAATGGTGACATTAAGTAACACTACAGATAGATAGAATATAATAACTAGGCCAATAACAATTGTCATCTAAAAATACCATCAATGAGCAATATGGTCCAATACTTAGATTCAATTAATCAAGCAAAGCTGTCAGAACACTGCTGCTGTTACCGTGCTTCTCAGTGTTTTGTTACCAGAAAGTTGAAGAGTGACAAGAAGTTAAAAACTAGTTGGCTATGGCATATTAGGCCTAGAAATAGTAGCATATGTACCTACATATTTTAGCCAGGTTATCGGACATGTCAAATTCCATATACAACATGAATTTTGTGCATATTATCAAAATTAGAAAAGGAGAAAAACCATTTTGACGGTTATTGATTTGCCAATAGAACACTATTCCTGGTTAAAGGAATCACATATACAATGGCGTCATAGCAAAACAAAGTCAATTCCTTTTGTATGCAATGCAAGAGTTTGTATTAAAAGTTCCTAACAATTTAGGGCTGAGATTAATTTCTTGCAAAACTGATCAAAATTGAAGAACAGTCTAAGCTTTTAACAACGAAACTAACCTCAACAACTTCATGAGCAGTTTTCATATCAGTAGCAAGAAACTCATGAAACTTGAGCCTAACCAGCTCATTCTTTCTCCAATTATCATGAATCTTCTCAAGAACTGCCTGCGTTATTCCAGCTTTCGGCACATTAATCCTCTCCCTTAAATGCATTCCCATCCTCCTCAACCGCCTCAACTCCTCGTCCTCAATGGTCAGCTCCGCCAGCGTCGGCGCCTTCACCACCGTCCTCCTCTTCATTCCCACCACCTTTCCTTCCTCCCTCTCCTTCTCCTCTCTCTCCCACGGCAACATCCACTCATCCTCTGCCTCGTTCATTTCATCCAAAAACACCGCATTGGGCCGGGCCCATTCTCGCTTCAACAAATCTTCCAACTTCTCCTCTCCGGTCACCGGCATTGAATCTAAACCATCCTCCTCTCCTTCTTCTTCTTCGTCTTCATCATCGGACCCCAACCCTAAGTTCCGTAACCGCAAAACGATACGTTCTATTGCGTTTTGGCCTTTATCGGTATTACTCAAGTAGCGAGTTTGAGATTCTGATTCTCTTTGTTTTTTATCCTCAAATTGATTGTCTCCATTGGATTGGGAGACCTTTTCGGGGGTTTTATCGATCGGAGGGCTTGGGGAGGGCCACTTGTTGAGCCAAGGAGCGGCGGAGGAGGGAGAGCGAGGTTTGAGGAGGCGGTGGTCGGGTTTGTTAGGGTTTTGGTTGGTACGAAGGGAAGAGAAGGGTTTGAGGAGGTGATACGACGGCGTTTTTTGGGAGGAGAAGAGGAGGAGGCTAAGTGAGTGTGAGTGTGAGTATGAGGTGAGTGGGAAGGAGTGTGTGAGTGAATTTCGGAATTGAAATTCTGTTAATTTGGATGTTGCGAGGGCCACCATTTTTGGGGTGAGAATTGAGCTTAATGTTGGTGTTGATGGTGGTTCATCGTTTCAATTTTTGTAAGATGAGACGTCGAAGAAGATAGTTTTCACTTCAGTTGGCGAAGGAGAGAAATGAAGATAAGATACTGTTGGGATATTTTCAGATGGGCTTGTTCCCACTAACCCACGTATTGGCCCGCGCCCGCGATCGTTTATCTACTATTTAGGGAATCCCTATACCGAACCCCTCAGTTTCACTGATTAGTCCTCTGTAGTTTTTTTATTTATTAAAGGAACCCTGTATCTTTACTATATGAAAAAGGACCCCTGTAGTGTAGTCTCACTTGAGGAACCCTATAGTGTTTTTGAGGACCCCCACAATTTCACTTACTATTAGAAGAACCCTTTTAGTTTTACATTATATAGATGGACCTTTATAGTGTTACTTTATGTTGTACGTAATTTTGACACCAACGACTTCGCACGTGCAACGTGTTGACAAGATCTCAGAAATTACACGCAAAATAATTATGAGAATTATTTGAGGTACTCTTCTCACAATAGCATGCAAAGATGTAAAAGTAAATGAGAGAATAATGATTTTTATAGTAGTTCAGATGCTTAAAGCATATTCTATATCCACTATTTTCTTTTATATGAGTGTGCTCATGGTCGTTAACCAAGATTATAATAAGTCGCGAACTACAATCTAGGATTTAGAGAATGTCAAGTCAATCTCTTTCTAGTAGTATGTCTTTGCTATTTGTTTTATTGAATTCAGAATGTCTGATCTCGATTTTGTAAGGAGACGCTGCTTATTTATACCCGTTGTGCTTAAGGTAATGATTACACTTCTGCAATTGGGTTGGTGTTGTGCAAACCTTTCATTTCCTCTCATTGATTGAGAACTTAAAGAATATCTTTAAATTAAATAGGGCGTAAACAGATGTACGAACTAAATTCATTCATAGATAAAATTTGAGTCAGTTAGATTGCTCACAGCTATATCCTTTCTGTCTTTAAGTGACAAAATCTTCATAATCTCTTATAGAAGCTTGCTGACACTTTGTATAAGAGGAACTATGTCAATATGTCTTTACCTTATCAAAAGGGCCCCTGTAGGCTATAGGCTATAATTAGTATTAATTACAAGTTTGACTTGATATCACAAGGATCCTTATAGTTTACTTTTATATGGAACCAATAGTATTACTTTATATCAGAAGGTCCCATTAACTTTACTTTGTACCCCATACCCGCCCTTTTTTTAATGAATTTTGTGTATGTTTTCTATTATTTTGAAAATACTGAAAATGTGTAGAAAATGCAAAAAATGAAAACGTGGGTTTGTTTGAAAACAACATATAAAAATGTGAAATGAAAACACATTCAATAAATTGATCTGAAATTATTAATTTTAGATTATTATCTTGAAAATTAACCATGGAAGAATCACCACCAAAATACTTTGAAAGAGAGCTTGTTTCGTGTATCTTCACAAGTACTACAAGTTGATTTAGTTTACTGTCAGAGAAANTCAATATGTCTTTACCTTATCAAAAGGGCCCCTGTAGGCTATAGGCTATAATTAGTATTAATTACAAGTTTGACTTGATATCACAAGGATCCTTATAGTTTACTTTTATATGGAACCAATAGTATTACTTTATATCAGAAGGTCCCATTAACTTTACTTTGTACCCCATACCCGCCCTTTTTTTAATGAATTTTGTGTATGTTTTCTATTATTTTGAAAATACTGAAAATGTTTAGAAAATGCAAAAAATGAAAACGTGGGTTTGTTTGAAAACAACATATAAAAATGTGAAATGAAAACACATTCAATAAATTGATCTGAAATTATTAATTTTAGATTATTATCTTGAAAATTAACCATGGAAGAATCACCACCAAAATACTTTGAAAGAGAGCTTGTTTCGTGTATCTTCACAAGTACTACAAGTTGATTTAGTTTACTGTCAGAGAAAGGGGTGCGTCCCCATGCTTTCCTCTGGTTTATCCTTATCCTTAGTAGGTTCCTGAGGTGAAACCTTTAGATCTTTGGCTAGTATGCGCGAATTGACTCTTTCCTTTGTGCATCTGTCTCCCATACTTTTCCGTTGGTCAACAACCTTTATAGTTCTTAACTACTCCAACCAGAAAGGACCCATTTATTAATGCAGGCCGGAGGGAATTATTCTTAATCAAAGCCATAACCATGTTCCCTTGTCCTAATAACAATCTCTTTTGGCTTCTAGATGCATTGTTTGGGTCTTCATTTGGCACTAGTTGCGCACTAACTCGCTCTTTTGATGTGATTATGAAGGTGTTTGTCTAAGCTTATAAACTGGTCAAACTAGTTTATAAACTCTAAAATTAAGCTGACCTGTTTGTTTATAACTGTTTTTAGCTTATAAGTTGAGCTTATAAACAAAAAAAAAAAAAAAAAAAACTTATAAGTTAGTTTGACCAAGCATATTACCATATTATTCTTATTTAATTTTAAAATTCTATAGTATACCCTTATTTAATATAGTACATTTTTTAGTCATTTTATAATAAAATATACTTATAAGCCACATTTTACAAAACATGTCAACTACTTATCAATCATTTATAAATACTTTAACCAAACACGTAATTGCTTAAAATTTCAAATACTTATAAGTTAAAATTAGCTTACAAGCATTGTTGCTTATAAACTAATTTTCATAAACTCAGACAAATACCTCCTATATCTTATAAGAAGCCATCTCTCTGATCTTAAAAAATTAATATATAAGTGAAGATATACTATTTTTATATTCATTTATGGTAATATTACACCCATAATTTTTTTTCATAAAATTTCTCTCATAATTTTGATACGGCAGTTGTTAATTGATTAACTATAATGTGTAGGTGGAAGCATTATAAATTTTGAATAGGGAGAAAAGTATACCCTGCATATTAATTTATTGTTTTTGTCTTTATTACATTTTTTAATCATTTCTCTTAATCATTATGTTTATTGACAAAAGGATTCCATCTATTTCTGCCAACTCAATTTGCTAAAAATATACATAATTTCATAATTCCTGAAGTTTTGACTATATTTTCTCGTATTACAGAAATAGTTTCACCAACGGATTCTTGTTGATTCGCTTAAAATGGTCGATCCTATTCGTAAATGTTGAAAGAATAAAAAAATCATATAATTTCAAAGAAGTAATCTAAATCTCAGCTATCAATTAAGCAACGTTTCTGGTTCGTTTTGAGCAATTGCAATGGTTGCTACCATCAACAACGTGATATTTTCTTCTGTTCTTGCGCTCGGTGCTCTCTTTCTTCTTGTTCCTACTGTTTCATGCAATGCAAAGCTTCTTGAGAAATGTGGGATCAATACAATTTATCAACTTGGAGATTCAACATCAGACACAGGCAATCTCATTCGCGAGAACCCTCAAGCTGGGTGTTCTCGCCTTCCCTATGGACAATATTTTTTCAAGAATGCCACTGGTAGATGTTCAGATGGGTTACTAATAATCGACTTTTTCAGTGAGAAATCCATTCTCTTCATCTTCTTTGTTAGCTAGACTCTGTATTTATACCATTGAATTCTTTGTAACTTATATCTTAAGCTTTGATGAAATGGTGACATTACTTTTTCCTACTTTCACAGCAAAATCAGCTGGTGTTCCCTTTCTTGAAGCCTACTTGAATCCGAATCCACACACTCGCTATAACGGATTGAATTTTGCGGTCGCTGGCGCTACTGCTTTGCCTGCGCACGTTTTAGCAGAAAGAAATATTCCATCCCCAGTAACCAATAGTTCTTTGAGTAAACAACTTGACTGGATGTTCACCTATTTCAACAAAACAGTATGCAACAATACAGGTTAGTGCTTCATCCTAAATCCTGCTTTAATTAAGACAAGATTTACATCAAACACATAGGTACTGATTCTCAAATCCAAAGTTTCCGGGCCTGTTTATAGATGTCAATAAAAAACGCAAAACAAAATTGTGCAAATTTTACAAAAAAATTGAACTTTTTATTGTTTATCAACAGTAGTAAATTGTTAACTGCATATGTGTTTGAATCTTTGATAGGCTATTTGAAGAGAGTTAACCAGACTCTCTTTGTGGTTGGGGAGATTGGAGGAAATGACTATACCTATGCACTGTTTAGCGGCAAAGCTCTTGAGGAGGTAACGGCTTTGGTACGAGATGTTGTCCAAGCCATCAAGGAAGCTATTAAAGTGAGTTTGTTTATTAGTTAATTTATCGCTTATTAAAGTTCAATTTCTGTTAATTAATTCCTGGGTTTGGTTGCAGAGAATTATTGGTTATGGAGCTAGAAGAATTGTTGCTCCTGGACACTTTCCAATAGGATGCTTGCCGATCTATTTGACACAATTTCAGACCAATGATTCTTCTGCTTACGATGAGTTTCACTGCCTGAAGGAGTTGAATAACCTGGCAATTTATCACAACCAGCATCTTCAACAAGCCCTCATAGAATTAATAAAAGAACACCCAAATGTAACAATAGCATATGGTGATTATTATAAGGCATACATGTGGACTCTGCAAAACGCTCATTCGCTAGGTCAGTCTCTTTGCATCTTGCCTCATAAATTTAAAAGAGATATTATGCACACCATATGTAGGTATTGGAGATTCTCTTGTGATCTAGTAAGGGATAACATTAAACATAGGATTCAATAAATATCGAGTGTCAAACTGAAACTGGCAGCACACTCATAAGATAAGCTTTTCATGTCACGGGATAGTAATTATAGATGAAATTTCTGAGGTGGACATAAAATCTGAGTACTTGAATTCTTCCTAAAATTTGATATTATAGATGGATCCAGCGTGCATTTTCTAAGGCTTCTTTATTGTTTATATGTAAAACAGGTTTCGATGCCACAATGGTGCAAAAAGCTTGTTGCGGCATTGGTGGGGAGTATGATTTCACTCTCACAAAGATGTGTGGAACTCCAGGCGTACCAGTTTGTGGAAATCCCTTTGAACGCATCAGCTGGGACGGAATTCATTTGACCCACAAGGCCTATGATCAAATGGCATCTTGGGTCATCCGCGACATCCTCCCAAAGTTTCAATGTAGTATTGCTTGAACATTAGCACTCAAAACAAAGTGACTCTGATTAATAAAATATTACTTCATCAGATCTATGACCAAGCCGTTCGTAAAAGAGAATGACCAGTCAGTTTTGTCGTGTAAATTATAAGTTTAATAAGTATATTCTGACAATCATTTAAGTATTAATAACATTGTTAACATTTTTCTACGTTAAAATGATGTTTGAATCATATAATGTTTTTTTATCTTAATAATAAAATTACCGGAAAGAAAGATAATATTGTAGATTATCCGATTGAAATTATTATTATACTTGATTCAATTGGGATGTATTAATAATTAATATGTTTGATTGATAGTAATAACAAATGTCTTGAAATAATCTTTTACTAGAATGCCCTTTAGATGATTACTAGATGTAAATAATTAAGGGTTTGTTTGTTTTATTATTTCAAACCTTATTCTCTATCCTATTCCCAAAATACTTGTTTGTTTAATTATTTGGGAAATACTATTATTTTTTATATACTTAAGTTTATTAACTTAATTAAACACCCCCATAAAAAAATTTAAAAATTAACAAAAACAACTCCACCCACCCATAGTTGCTAGATTCCGACAACCACCGTCAGCGGTGGTCGGAATCTGTCACAATGGCCTAAAAACGACCGAAAATGGTCGTTTATTTGCCGATTTGGCCGAATCTGGCATGGTGGATATGGCCAGAAAAGTCCAGATCAACACACCACCAGCCAGATTCGACCAGTCTGAGTCGTAACAGCAGATTCCGACCAGATTACGACGGTGGTGGCCGGAATCTGGCACTGTGGTGATGGGGGTGTTTTTGTCATTTTATAAATTGAGTGTTTTGTAATTATTAACAAAGCCAAGGATATTTTTGTCCACATTGTCCACTGTTTTGGTGCAAAATTGGACAGAAATTTGGATTACCGAAATAATATTTTAATACCACCCTCCCCCCAGGTAATATTATTCCCAGTGATTTATCCCCTTTTTCGCACTATTTGTCATCTTATTTTTCGGTAATATTTTTGTACAAAAATGTCAAACACGATAATCTACTCAATTAAACAAATATTACCCTTGTTAATAAATTTCAACCCAATCCCCTAACTGATTATACATTTAAACATGTTTATATTCATACTGTATATAACAAGCCATTAATATTGTAGTTTGTCTATTTGAGCATTGGATTCTACACCTCTTGTTGTTCCTCCTCCTTCATGCAATGCACATGATCTTCTTAAGAGTTGTGGGTTTGATACTATTAGCTGACTGTTTGCAGAACAATCAGCCAGTTTCCTTTTTTATTTTTTGGCCTGCTTGAACCCGAAAGCATCATACACTGCTCGTGATATGAATGCACTGACATTTGCGGTTGCTATTAATAGATCACATCACCTGGGTTGGTAAATATTCGGTGAATAATTTATTTAAATTGAGCTAGATATTGTACGTTCCATTCTCACATGTTTCAGAAACCAACAACAAAACCCCCGGAAACTACATAATTTCATCACTTGGAGGATATGGTTATTAGTTTTTGAAACCTCCTGTTGAAGTTGACGATCAATGTATATTTTATCATGTTACACAAAGAGTTTGAATAAAGCGTTCAGGTTGAAATGCTTGAAATGGTGGATTCATAGTCGAACAATATATCTTTCGCCTATAAATTAAGCAATATTTCTAGTTTGTTTTGAGCAATAATGGCTGCTACCATCAATAACAAGATTTTTTCTCACATATTAATTTATTGTTTTTGTCTTTATTACATTTTTTAATCATTTCTCTTAATCATTATGTTTATTGACAAAAGGATTCCATCTATTTCTGCCAACTCAATTTGCTAAAAATATACATAATTTCATAATTCCTGAAGTTTTGACTATATTTTCTCGTATTACAGAAATAGTTTCACCAACGGATTCTTGTTGATTCGCTTAAAATGGTCGATCCTATTCGTAAATGTTGAAAGAATAAAAAAATCATATAATTTCAAAGAAGTAATCTAAATCTCAGCTATCAATTAAGCAACGTTTCTGGTTCGTTTTGAGCAATTGCAATGGTTGCTACCATCAACAACGTGATATTTTCTTCTGTTCTTGCGCTCGGTGCTCTCTTTCTTCTTGTTCCTACTGTTTCATGCAATGCAAAGCTTCTTGAGAAATGTGGGATCAATACAATTTATCAACTTGGAGATTCAACATCAGACACAGGCAATCTCATTCGCGAGAACCCTCAAGCTGGGTGTTCTCGCCTTCCCTATGGACAATATTTTTTCAAGAATGCCACTGGTAGATGTTCAGATGGGTTACTAATAATCGACTTTTTCAGTGAGAAATCCATTCTCTTCATCTTCTTTGTTAGCTAGACTCTGTATTTATACCATTGAATTCTTTGTAACTTATATCTTAAGCTTTGATGAAATGGTGACATTACTTTTTCCTACTTTCACAGCAAAATCAGCTGGTGTTCCCTTTCTTGAAGCCTACTTGAATCCGAATCCACACACTCGCTATAACGGATTGAATTTTGCGGTCGCTGGCGCTACTGCTTTGCCTGCGCACGTTTTAGCAGAAAGAAATATTCCATCCCCAGTAACCAATAGTTCTTTGAGTAAACAACTTGACTGGATGTTCACCTATTTCAACAAAACAGTATGCAACAATACAGGTTAGTGCTTCATCCTAAATCCTGCTTTAATTAAGACAAGATTTACATCAAACACATAGGTACTGATTCTCAAATCCAAAGTTTCCGGGCCTGTTTATAGATGTCAATAAAAAACGCAAAACAAAATTGTGCAAATTTTACAAAAAAATTGAACTTTTTATTGTTTATCAACAGTAGTAAATTGTTAACTGCATATGTGTTTGAATCTTTGATAGGCTATTTGAAGAGAGTTAACCAGACTCTCTTTGTGGTTGGGGAGATTGGAGGAAATGACTATACCTATGCACTGTTTAGCGGCAAAGCTCTTGAGGAGGTAACGGCTTTGGTACGAGATGTTGTCCAAGCCATCAAGGAAGCTATTAAAGTGAGTTTGTTTATTAGTTAATTTATCGCTTATTAAAGTTCAATTTCTGTTAATTAATTCCTGGGTTTGGTTGCAGAGAATTATTGGTTATGGAGCTAGAAGAATTGTTGCTCCTGGACACTTTCCAATAGGATGCTTGCCGATCTATTTGACACAATTTCAGACCAATGATTCTTCTGCTTACGATGAGTTTCACTGCCTGAAGGAGTTGAATAACCTGGCAATTTATCACAACCAGCATCTTCAACAAGCCCTCATAGAATTAATAAAAGAACACCCAAATGTAACAATAGCATATGGTGATTATTATAAGGCATACATGTGGACTCTGCAAAACGCTCATTCGCTAGGTCAGTCTCTTTGCATCTTGCCTCATAAATTTAAAAGAGATATTATGCACACCATATGTAGGTATTGGAGATTCTCTTGTGATCTAGTAAGGGATAACATTAAACATAGGATTCAATAAATATCGAGTGTCAAACTGAAACTGGCAGCACACTCATAAGATAAGCTTTTCATGTCACGGGATAGTAATTATAGATGAAATTTCTGAGGTGGACATAAAATCTGAGTACTTGAATTCTTCCTAAAATTTGATATTATAGATGGATCCAGCGTGCATTTTCTAAGGCTTCTTTATTGTTTATATGTAAAACAGGTTTCGATGCCACAATGGTGCAAAAAGCTTGTTGCGGCATTGGTGGGGAGTATGATTTCACTCTCACAAAGATGTGTGGAACTCCAGGCGTACCAGTTTGTGGAAATCCCTTTGAACGCATCAGCTGGGACGGAATTCATTTGACCCACAAGGCCTATGATCAAATGGCATCTTGGGTCATCCGCTACATCCTCCCAAAGTTTCAATGTAGTATTGCTTGAACATGAGCACTCAAAATAAAGTGACTCTGATTAATAAAATATTACTTCATCAGATCTATGACCAAGCCGTTCGTAGAAGAGAATGACCAGTCAGTTTTGTCGTGTAAATTATAAGTTTAATATATATATTCTGACAATCATTTAAGTATTAATATTACATCATATAATATTTTTTTTTATCTTAATATTAAGATTACCAAAAAGAAAGATAACATTGTAGATTATTGGGTTTAAATTATTATTGTATTTGGTTCAATTAGGATGTATTAATAATTAATGTGTTTGGTTGATAATAATAACAAATGTCCTGAAATACTTTTTTATTAGAATACCTTTTAGATGATTACTAGATGTAAATAATTAAGGGCTTGTTTGCTTTATTATTTAAAAACCTATTCTATATTCTATTCCCAAAATACTTGTTTGTTTAATTATTTGAGAAATACTATTCTATTTTTTAATTACTTTTAGACTTTTTAAGTTTATTAACTTAATTAAACATCCCTAGAAAAAAGTTTAAAAATTAACAAAAACAACCCCACCCACCCATAGTTGCCAGATTCCGGCAACCACCATCAGCGGTGGCCGGAATCTGTCACAATGGCCTAAAAACGACCGGAAATGGCCGTTTATTCGTCGATCTGGTCGAATCTGACCTTTTCGACAAGATCAGTGGTGGATCTGGCCGGAAAAAGCCAGATCGACACACCACCGGCCAGATTCAACCAGTCTGAGTCGTAACGGTAGATTCTGACTAGATTCCGGCGGTGGTAGTCAGAATCTGGCACTGTGGTAATGGGGTATTTTTGTCATTTTACAAATTTGGTGTTTTGTAATTATTAACAAAGCCAAGGATATTTTCATCCACATTGTCCACTATTTTAGGGCAAAATTAGACAGAAATTTGGATTACCGAAATAATATTTTAATACCACCCTCCCCCCAGGTAATATTATTCCCGATGATTTACCCCCTTTTTGGCACTATTTGTTATCTTATTTTCCGATAATGTTTTTGTACAAAAATGCCAAACACGATAATCTAATCTGCTCAATTAAACAAATATTACCCTTGTTAATAAATTTCAACCCAATCCAAATGGGCCTAACTGATTATACATTTAAACATGTTTATATTCATACTGTATATAAATATAACAAGCGATTAATATTGTAGTTTGTCTATTTGAGCATTGGATTCTACACCTCTTGTTGTTCCTCCTCCTTCATGCAATGCACATGATCTTCTTAAGAGTTGTGGGTTTGATACTATTAGCCGACTGTTTGCAGAACAATCAGCCGGTTTCCTTTTTTATTTTTTGGCCTGCTTGAACCCGAAAGCATCATACACTGCTCGTGATAATGAATGCACTGACATTTGCGGTTGCTATTAATAGATCACATCACCTGGGTTGGTATATATTCGGTGAATAATTTATTTAAATTGAGCTAGATATTGTACGTTCCATTCTCACATGTTTCAGAAACTACATAATTTCATCACTTGGAGGATATGGTTATTAGTTTTTGAAACCTCCTGTTGGCTGTTGAAGTTGACGATCAATGTATATATTTTATCATGTTACACAAAGAGTTTGAATAAAGCGTTCTGGTTGAAATGCTTGAAATGGTGGATTCATATTCGAACAATATATCTTTCGCCTATAAATTAAGCAATATTTCTAGTTTGTTTTGAGCAATAATGGCTGCTACCATCAATAACAAGATTTTTTCTTCGGTTCTTGCGCTCGGTGTTCTCTTCCTTTTTGTTCGTCCTGCTTCATGCTATGAATATCTGCTTGAGAAATGTGGGATCAATACAATTTACCAACTTGGAGATTCGATATCAGACACAGGCAATCTCATTCGCGAGAAACCTCAAATTGCGTGTTCTCGCCTTCCCTATGGACAATACTTCTTCAGGAATGCAACCGGTAGATGCTCTGACGGTTTACTCATAATCGACTTTTTCAGTAAGAAATCTATTCGGTTCTTCTTCTTTGTTAGTTTAACTTTAACACATATGTTCACAGTCGCATTCTTTGCAGCTGGCTATACCTTAAGTTTTTTCATCAAACTTTTGCAGCAATATCAGCGGCTCTTCCCTTTCTCGAACCCTACTTGAATCCGAATCCACACACTCGCGATAGCGGATTGAATTTCGCGGTTGCAGGCGCTACTGCTTTACCCGCACACATTTTAGCAGAAAAAAGTGTTTCATCCCCAGTAACCAACAGTTCTCTTGATAAACAACTTGACTGGATGTTCACTTATTTCAATGGATCAGTATGCAACACTGCAGGTCAGTGCCTCGGACTCAAAGCCGCCTTAATAACAGATAAATGCAGAAGTTCTTATTAGAAAAGACTGCATATATATTTTACTTGTATGTTTGAATCTTTGATAGACTGTTCGAAGAAACTTAACAAGACTCTCTTCATGGTTGGGGAGATTGGAGGAAATGACTATAACTATGCACTGTTTAGAGGCAGATCTCCCGAGGAGGTAACGCTTTTGGTGCCCGATGTTGTCCAAGCCATCAAGGAAGCTGTAACAGTAAGTTCCTTATTCTTAATCACTTACTTCCCAATTATTAGAGTTGAATTTCTTCGTTAATTCTGAGTTTTGGATGCAGAGAGTTATTGGGTACGGTGCTAGAAGAATTGTTGTTCCTGGAAACTTTCCAATAGGATGTTTACCGAGCTATTTGACACTATTTCAGACCACTGATACTGCAGCTTATGATGAGTTTCACTGCGTGAAGGAGTTGAATAACTTGGCAATTTATCACAATCAGCATCTTCAACAGGCCCTTGAAGAATTAACAAAAGAACACCCTAATGTGGCCATAGTATATGGTGATTATTACAATGCATACATGTGGATTCTGCAAAATGTTCATTCGCTTGGTGAGTTTTTGTATCTTGCATCATGGAACCAGAACATCTGCAGGAGAGATTAACTGATATCGTAAAATTATCTTAGTTAAGTTACTTTATTGTTTATGTATATAAACAGGTTTTGATGCCACATCGGTGCAAAAAGCTTGTTGCGGCGTTGGTGGAGAGTATGATTTTACTGTTTCAAAGATGTGTGGAACTCCAGGCGTACCAGTTTGTGCAAATCCTCTTGAACGCATCAGCTGGGATGGAATTCATTCGACCCACAAGGCCAATTACCTCATGGCATCTTGGATCATCCAAGACATCCTCCCAAAGTTTCAGTGTTGTTCTTCTTGAACATTTGCATCCAAACAAAGTGATTCAATAAATATAAATTTATTATATATAAGAGAAGGATGTTCAGAGAAGAGAATGATCGGTCTATTTTAACATCTAAGCTAGTACATCTGTTGCAACTTATGATGCTTTATAAAGTATGCAATCAGTTCTAGTCTAGTGTACAACTGCTAATTTCCAAAATTAATTATGTATCTCTAAGGTTGACTTCAATTACAAGGACTTATTAGTTGGGAAACCATATACATAATCAGTATGAACGATATTTCGTGTAAGCAAAACTTATATTTATAGAAAAGCAATAGGTAAGGTTGAAACTTGAAAGGGTATGGCTCAGTTTCCGGAAGATTTTCTGCTTATCGAAGGTGATGAATTGAAAATTTCCTGACCAAGCTCTTTGATCTTGTTAAGTAGAAGCATTTGTTCAGTCTCAAGCTGTGCCATGTATTCTTCTTGTGTATCTTCAAGAGTTTCCAGCTCACTCAAAGCAGTTGAAAGTCCTTCAATATTGCTATCGTCAATCATAGATTGAAATTTGTTTATCATCTGTTTCATCTGATAAGAATTCATAAAACAACATGTCAGAATCAAAGTAGTCAAGTTGTGCAAAAACCTGTGTTATTTTCCTAACACAAACATGACAATGAACAGACAGAAAGAATGAAAGCAAGTTAAACATTGAAGATGGATAAAATTTTCGGAATAGTTCAGAATAGACTTCACATTTCCGGATAGATTTCACACATGAAAAATCAGAAAGAGATGGAACAAGAATAAGGTAAACCACTTAGCTTAAAATGAGTATTCCAATATATCTTCAGCTCTCTCTCTCTCCTTATTTTATAAATTTTAAGTTGTTTTTTCATTTTAATTTTAATAAAATGAGGTAAAGCCATGCCACAAATATCATGTTGTCTGTAACAAGCAATTAATTTAATTGAAGATGCAAATAACAAAAAGCCTTGGAAATCATGGTCTTACCTGGCCAGAAATTTGGTGTGATTTAATTAGAGATGGCTCAGAATCCGAACTGGGTCTCTTCTGTAGTTCGGGAATTCTTCTTGTTATTTGAACGTGGATCTCTCCCCTTTTCACTCCTTGGAGGGGTATCCACTTGTCAGCCATTTCATTAGGAGGCAATCTCTGATATTCTACAACACAATCACCTATACTTGATGTGGGTAGTAAAGCGTTGTGGTCTTTCACATGCAGCAGCAGGGGACTACCATCATCCAGAAACTCTAAGGTCTGATTCCATTGAGGATTTAGAGTTCTATCGATCACCTAGAAGACAACCGGTGATAGGCCAGATTAGTAATTGAATTAGCATAAATAGCAGAAAACTTCAGGTTGTTAACTACTGGAAAAAAAAAAAAAAAAAATAACCATTCTTTTGCAGAAAAATAGAGTATGTCTCCAAAATTTTCTATAAAAAAAAAAAAAAATGCCAAACCATTGAAAGACAATAGTGTTCTTTCACCACTAACAAGAGGTTCATGTTGACCATCTTATACATGGGATAGGGGAAGAAGAAAAAGGCCAGTTACAAGTTCCTACAGTTAATATTAGAAACAGATAAGATAAGAAACTGAGAAAACAAATTATCAGTTATTTCCATATCCTCTTTCCACAATGCTAGAAGTGCTATGTTGTCAAGACAGGAAGAAAAAGTTATTGATGCAAAATTTAACTCTACAGACCTGAAAGTTTAAGTTGAAAACATCAATTTTGTAAAAATAAAAAATGAGGTTTCCCAGACCTTTGTTCTCTTCTTTAGGTCTCCATACTGCACTCTCACGTATGGATCACTTGTCCCCCTGAGATCCGCAGCAATAAGGTCTCTCCCTTCAACAATAACAAGTTCAATCCAACCATAGACTGGGCTCGCATTTGAACCCTGAAAATAGTCCAGGGAAAATAAAGAGAAAAGAGTATTAGAACTGTCACTCTTGCACTGAAAGGTTGTTCACAACCTGCACATACACATTGGGGATATCGGTCCTGTTAAACAATAACTATACATGAACATATTCCTTAAAGCTAACATAAGATTCAAAATCTGCATTTATATTGGCCCTGACCCCTGCCAATGTCAACCTGAAATCAACCATGCCGAGCTAAAAATCAAGCACAAAATCATCAAACCATAGACAAGTGCATCAACACCTGTTCCATCTATTGTAGAATATATGGATGAGGAAACTTAAACCTGAACTTTAAAAGCCGTCAAAAGCTTTTATTTCTCTATATTTCCTGTTTGAATAATTATAATTTTTGCTTTTCGGGAAGCATTCAAAAGTTTATTTAATTCACAATAAGGAAAGCATACCCTTGATCCTTCAGAATCATCAACCCTCACTGCTTCTATTTGAAGCCTAAGTTCTCCTGAATTGACTTTTTCAAGGGGTACCCATATATCTCTGATTGACCCTTCTACAAGTCCTTCCAAATTTACCCGAGCACTACCAATGTTATCATCTCCAAAGATTTCTTCGCTGTAGCATTTTATCTTAAGGTATTCACCACCTCCTATCTCATCAAGTTCAAATTTCTGATTCCAGGTAGGACTGAAACCATGTGCAGTCCTTGTTCTTTGGAGAATCTGAAAAAAAAAAAAAAATTAAAATTATAGACAGAGTAGAGCATGAGTGATCATAATAATACAGATTGAACATGTAGGAATTTGTAACCTTGCTATACCACAACATTATCATGGAAAGAGAACCTGACCTTTCCATATTGCAATTTGACATATGGATCACACTTTCCGGATTTGTCTTTCGGTATAAGATCCTTTCCTTCTGCAACAGTTACATTAATTTTCCTTCCAGTTCTTGAAAGAAAATTTGATGAACCATTTAGCGATTGTTGCGAGCCACTACGAAAATTGGTCAAGCTATGTGAACCATCTGAAAATTGCCACTCCTTCAACACAAGCCTCACTGTCAACTGCCAAATGCATTTAAACAAGAAAACTATTAAGTTATGTTCAGGTATCTTTGCCTGATGCATACTGGATGAGTGGTCACCTTAATTTTATCCTAAACCAAATGAAAGTTTACAGGAATTTCAACGCAATTCAATATTCAACATTTGAAACCAAACTTTGGTCCAAAATAAGCAGGTGGAACACGAAAATAGTTGTAGAAGCAAACAGAAGTATTTCCCATTGTCTCAGACAACCAGTCAATAATGCCTAATTTGATTAACTAGTGATTTATTCATTCATGCCCTACTTTACCACCAAGATGACAGCAAACAGAGGAATCTTGGTGCCAATTACTACTTGCAATGAAATTCTGAGAACAATACCTCCCCTGAATTGACCCCCTCAAAAGGAACAGTCATTTCAACTTCTTTTCCACAAAATTCAGCATGCTTGGCTATTAAACCAGAGTCAGGCCCTATAGCCCAAAAGGTTGTGGAATCATCTGCATCATACTTGACCTGCCAAAGAAAAAAAAAATATGACTTAGTTGATGGTAAAGCAGATGATATAACTCCTACTATGCATAGAACTTATTCTGAAAGCAAGCTAGATTGTTTTGAAGAGATTAAATGTGTATTAGTTTACAACGTGATCTTCTTGCTATTGCCTATGATGTATGTTATTTCTTAATGTTGATAGATTTTAACATATCGTAAGGAAAAACAGCTACTATATATATAGTAATGCACAAAAAAAAAAAAAAAAAAATATGACCTAATTTATCTTATACATAAACCATGCTACAGTGAAACTTTAATTTCACTCTAAGAAACCAGCTAAGTCACAGATCAAAGTGCCATGAGCCATGCATTTATCCTTAGAGAGGAAACTAACATATCAACATAGTACCTTGACTTCACAACTTGCTAGATAACCATACTGGACACTGTAGGGCGTGAATTGATAAAGGTGGAACCGCAGAATTCCTGTTTCTTCATGTAAAACCATATTAAATGTTGAATCCCATCTGGGATCTGAGCCTGGTCTGACATTTGTTCTCCTGGTTAACTCTTCAAGTTCAATCTCCACAAACGTCTGCAAATCTTTATCATCGTTGCGCTCTTCTAAACTACAGGCTACAGGAGATGTTTGCCTCCTTGATGGGCTTCCTCTTAAACTACTTCTAAAAAGTTTACTAGCAGAAACAACTTTCACATAAATGATACCACCAACAGCCTTTTTCCTCAAATCTACTGCTGGCAAAGAGAGACACCGGCGGCGAGGTTCAACCATCGTCTTAACTAAGGTTTCATTGAAAAGTTTAACCTGCATGAGGGAAAAGAAATTATTGCTAGCACAAAAATTTAGCATTTACTAGAAATTATAACTTAGCACTATAGTAAACCTGTGCGATGCATAACCCACCAACATATTGAAGACATAGTTTCTTTACCATCTATAAATTTAAGCTAAGCTGCTTGATCGCATAAGCCTTGGACCCATGCAAAAACAGCTCACTTTAGGACTTACAGACAAGATTTTACGATGAGATAATCCACGTTTAACTTATGACCTAATTAGTCATCCCAAGCACAACAAGGATTAAATTGTGACAAAGATAAGACTTTTAATCTACTTAAAATGCCTGAGGTTAAAATGTATGGATGCACTATGACCTCTTCCTCTAAGTCGATAAAGGTATAATTACAATTAACTTATTTATCAATAGCTTCAGTTAATTAATGAAGAAGGGAATAGAGAGATTGCAGGATAATATTGAAAATTCAAGGATATAAATTTAAAAGAGAGAAAATAACAAGAGTATATGCTCAGAAGGACCAATACTTTTATAGCCAAGAAATGAAGAGTTTTCAAAGCAAAAGGAACAATGATTGACAATATTTAATTAGTTTTAAGTGGAAATAGCCAGTTTAACTGCCAGTTGACATTAATAGTAAATTGAGGGGAACACACCAGAGGAATGTCATATCATACTGCTCCCTCCATCTCTATTCTAAACAAAAATACATAAAAAGCTATGACCACCAAACTTGTAATACTGTATTTGTCGATATTTTAGTGCAATATTATTGCATTTG